TATATATATATATATATATATATATATATATATATATATATATATATATATATATATATATATATATATATATGTGTGTGTGTGTGTGTGTGTAACATCCATTAAGTGTACAACAGACCATATATTCTTTTCCATCCAATTTCTATAGATTAATGACTTCATAAGATACATTATAATTCTGCTATTCCATATAATAGAAGACTGTGGCAAGTAGTTATGTATGTAAAGCATTGTCCAGTATAAAACACTTGTTTGTGAAACTCTGATAGTTTAATGGGGAGTTTACTGAAATCAGTAGAGGTTTTTGTTTTTGTTAAAGAGGTAATTGGGGATACGATACCAAAATGATTCAGTGTTTCATCCAAGATTTTAACCAATTAATTTTAAAAGTACCATTATAGCATTCAAAATCAATTTCCCACCAAACCTGCATCTCTAATTTATTCTACCACGTGACCTTTTCTCAGGAAATGTGGTTTGTTTCTCCAAATTACGTTCATGTTCATTTAATTTAAGGTTTTCATCAAGGTATTTAGGATAGCGAAAATACAAGTAGAATAAATGAATCTTAACAGGCATTCCATTTTGGTTAAAGAATGAATCTTATATTGAAAGGTCATATTGGAGCAATAAATTCAGTTTGGAATCAAATTCTTTGATTATGTTTTCGATATTTAAAGTTGAAACTTGGCTTTTGGTTTCAATAGTTCCTAAGTATTTAACTTCAGATTGAATTTGGGATGTTTCTTTTAAGATTGTGTCATAAATGTTTAGAGGTTCACACTCTTTTAAATTTAGTGTTAGTCCGAAGGCCTCCAAGAATAACTTAATTTAAACTTAAATTTAAACTTAATTTCCATTTTTTTAAAGGGTAGTGTCATTTGTTTAGTTAATTATTCATTTTTTTAATGATTAATTAAGTACCAAAGATGTCTAATTTGTCAGTGTCTGTACAGTTTTTTTCTAGGTAGATCTTTAACATTTCTTCAACTAAAATAAGCAAAAATGGGGAAATTGGACATCCTTGAAGAATGTTGACAATAGGGTTAAATTTTTCTGTGGTATTTTTAGGTAGTATAGCTGTTGATGTTCTGATATAGACATTTATCTATATGCTTTCAGAAACCGAAAGCCTTGGGTGAAACATCTACATGCTTGTGGTTAGTGAAAAGGAATATCAAAATAAAATTGCAATTTTGGTTAAAAAATTATTGTAATTTAGATATTTGGCAAAATCATTCAGCCCCTAGAATTGGGTCTATATACGTCCATTCAGACCACACACAAAGCCTGCCTTCCCCATGTGAAACTGTGCAGCATAATAATAACAGAGGGATAATAATTCCCTGTCAAGTCAGAGCTAGAGATCACTGCTGCTGTGAATGATTCAATTCAAGGCACTTTACAGTTCACCAGATCATACAGTCAAATTGATTCAAAGATTTTTATCTGAGGAAAACCAGTTGATTGCATCGACTCATTGACTCGGATGCAATCCCTCACACTAAGCATGCTTGTAGCGACAGTGGAGAGGAAAAACTCCCTTTTAACAGGAAGAAACCTCTGCAGAACCGGGCTCAGTG